AACAAGTATGGGAGGAGTTGGCTAATTTGAAGGTGGCTCAATATCTTACCTTCATATAAAAGGCTTTTACAATGGTATAAAACAGTCATATAAACTAAAACAAATTAAAAATCAGTTGGCAATGTTAGAAGAATGCATAAGAGATGAGACACTACAAGCACCCTCAAAATTAGAAGATGATACACACTTGGTTGGAAAGTGGTGTTGATAGGCTATGGATGTGGAATAGTTTTTGGAATGATCATAGGACATCTTGTTTCTCAACAGGAAAGCCTCAATGGCTTTTAAAGATCATTGAAGGAGGACACTGTAATGCCCCACTCGAGGTACGTAGCTAATGTTTCTTAGTTTACTCTTATTGGAATTGGAATATTGTTATTATGGTTTGGTAGGCCCTTGGTTGAATGGATGTATTGGTTTGGTTGAGTGGTTGCCCTGAAATTGTAGAGACTTGATGGAATTTTGGGGTTACAGTCTTCGCTGGGACGAAGAAGAATCGTCGCCGCGACGATGAGGCCCTGTAACCCACGGTGTAGGTTCTGTGAAGTTTCGCCGGTGCGAAGAAATAGTCTTCGCCGCGGCAACGAGCCTAACAAAAAGTTGTATAAAGTTTCTAGAGAATTCTTCTTTTGGGGCACAATGACCATTCTACCCCTAATTAACAGGAAAAGTGAAGAGTGAAATGCAAGGAAATTGCATGGAGAATAGTTTATTTGGGGGTGCATTTGTAAAGAATTAAAAGGACAAAATGGAATTCTTAAGAAAGAGTAAGGGTAAAATGGAAAAGAATGGAGAAAATATGGGATGATAAGGGTTTAACTTTAGAAACCCATTCATTCATCTTCTTCTCCACCGCCATTCTCCTTTCCTACTTCCTCTCAATTCCTTTTTCATTTGTTCAAGGATTTTTAAAGGGTTTTTGGAGTGATTGGAGTAGAAAATCAAGCTAAGTCATCCTAAGGTAAGGATTCTTGCTTTGGATGTGAGGTTTTGTGTAAATTTGTATATTAAAGTTGTATGGTTTTATTGTTTAAAGGGTAGAGAAAAGTCAAGCAAGCAAAGGAAAAGGAAAATACTAGTGAGAGTTCTTCATCACAAGGTAAGTAAATCCCAACCCAAGTTGAGATTTGGGAATTCTTTTGAGTAGAGATTTAGTAGAAATGATGTATGTATTTGAGAAATTGGGTAGAGATATATGTCTACTCGTTGAGAAATTAAATTTAGATAAGTATTCATATTGAGTTTGTTGGATACTTTTCCTTTATAAGAGGTGTGAATGTGTGATGAGTTAAGATGAAGTTAGATGAGTTTGAGTATATATTTTGGGAGTGTTCTTCTATGGAAGGGATTATGCCCATGGAAGGGAGTTTACTTCCAATTTTGGATGGTTAAAAAAAGAAATAGAGTTGTAGTTAGAGAAGAGTTTGTTATGCAAATGAGTTGTTTGATGAAATGTCTAAGAGAAGCATGAGAATGAGTTATGAACCTTAATTATTGCAACATTGCATATTGGCATTTCCTAAGTGCATTAATGAGCATGAACCATCCATATGCATTAATTGTGCATTGTGAAATAACTTGAGAAAGAGTAGAAAATTACTCTAAGAGTTAAGCTACATTATGATGAGTAGCTAGAGAAAGAGTAGAGATCTTGTGCACAAGCTACTCTAAGAGCTAAAGAAGATAATAGAATAAGTTGTGCGATAGGGAACCCGTGAGTGATGAGTAGAGTCACGAGAGTGGGTGCTTTGTGATCCCCAGCCGTGCCTCCGGTAAGATGGGGTCGTGACCGTCACGTAGAGTGGAACACGAGATTCCAGCCGTGCCTTCGGTAAGAAAGGGCCATGACATTCAAGAGATATAGAGAAAGAATGTACACTCACATGGCCAAGGGTTCCGAATCTATGCATGATCAAATCCGATCGGTAGAGAAACGAGTAGAAGTCACGTAGAGTGGTAGCGCCCAGCCGTGTCTCCGGTCAGATGAGGCCATGACATTCCAATGAGTAAGAATGAGAAACAAGGAAAGAGAAAGAACAGAAAGAGAAAAAGAGTAAAGTCACGAAGAGCGGGTTAAGTTCCCGGCCGTGCCTCCGGTAAAATGAGGCCGTGACATACACCAGAGGGTGTATAGCAAAGAATATCATAAACAGAAACAGAAAGAGAACAGAAATGAGAAAAGAATAGTATAAGGAAAGAATTACGAGATAGTGTTACGGGGATAGACAAGTAGATGATTTATTTACTGAGCATTAGTTGTGCTCACCCCGTTGTTTCTATGTTTTTGCAGGTTCCAGGTGAGTACGCAGTCGGATGGACGTCAACGGGCGAGGGAAAGTAGTTGCACTATCCACCACACTTTTGAGAACTTTTGTAAATGATACTGGCTTTATGTAAAGAATATGTATATTAAATAAAAGAAAATTTTTGGGCCCAACTAGTTTGATTCATGTATTGTATTTTTATTGTATGTGTTTTTATGAATATAGTAGTATAAAGCAGTTATTACAGACACCGTCAAAAGGGGAGAAGGCCAAACAAGAGACATTGTGGAAGAAAAGAATAGTTCTTACAAGTTCTCCGGTGTAAGTATTTTTTTCAAAATTGTAGAGGAATTTTTGTTATCATTAAAAGCAAACTTTGTTATAGCGTTGTATCAAATAGTTTTGAAATTTAATTCAACTACTCTATTGCGAAACTCTCCATTTTGCGGACTTCCAAGGATTTGATTCCGTGGAATTGAAGAAATTGGGAGAGATTGTTAACTTGGTATATGATGAGCCCTGTCCAGTTTCCTGCAATTTGGCGAAGTAAAATTAACTTGGTAGTTTCTGCATTTTGGTTTGAGATAATTGGAATATTATATTTGGAAATTAAATTTTTGGAGTAGTTCATTGGGTAATTTTACACAAATTAAATTAGCAATTTTCTTTTTATTAACTTAATTGTTTACTTCAAGTAAAATTACTATAAAGGAATTAGATTTTAACAAATAAAATCCTGGTCATTCACCAACTAACCATAAATCATAAATGTCCTCATCTACAAACAACTAACATTGCAGTCAATTAACGTTAATTATGCACTTATGAGTTAATCTATCGGCTGATGTAACTGTTAGCTGACAGCCAAGGTGGTTATCAGTTTAACATGGATTCTACGCCACCAAATTGAAATTGCCAGTCTTCTTTCCACGAGAAAATAATAGTCCGTCCACCACAGGAATTCTATGACATAATAATATAATATTATTCCTTTCAGGATCTCGATTGATTTGTTGATGGAATTACACTTGAAATTCCTCGGAAGCCACAATGAAGAGTCCATATTCTTTATGTGTGGAAAATTTAAATTTCTTGGAAAATACAAAAAGACTAAATAATTTAATTTCTTTTCCACATACATGAAGACAAAATTTTTATTATTATTATGCAATAAACCTAGATAAATATATATTAGTTTTTTCTTATAAGAAATGACTTCAATAATTTATATTTTTTCATTTTGTCTTTGATTGACAAAAAGAGAACTTGAATTATTAAAAATTTATTTTCATATAAAAATGTTGATTATATTTTAATTAATTGATATTATCATTAGTATTTTCATGTGAACTAGTTGATGATAACATTTTTTCCACTTAACTTTATGTTGGTCTAGTCGTCTGAGCCTCTATAGAACAAATGAAGTCCTGCATATGTAATGAAGTAATTGATTTTCTAAAATTAAATTAAAGAAAAAAAAAAAAGCAAAGGTTAGTGTTTATGCGTTGTAACCAGAATTCAACAAGACTTGTCCAGTGTCTCAGTTCGAAGAAAAGGATATCCGAAGGCTAAGAACGAAAAAATGTTTAAATAAGAATTCTAAGTCAACATATTTAATTGTCAAAATTCAAAAGGTAAAGCCAGTAGGCGGCTTAACTAGTATGTCTATGCTCATACCTTATCAAAAATATATATGCATATAATTAATACATAAAACTTAATTAATTTACAAATAGCTTAACTAATATTATCTCACGTCAACTTATAGTTTACAATTATTGGTTGTTTCAATATGTTAATAACACAAAAAATAAATAAATAAATTTACTTATTTCCATGCACAATATATGCTAAATGATAAAATTAAAAAAAAAAAAAAATTCGCATACAAAATTTTTAACGCATCAAAATATTAAATTTTTTGTCATCCAATTCATATATAAAAAATTACTTCAATAGCATACAAAATCAAATTATTAGATTATATAGTTAATTTCTATGTGGATATAGATTTATCTACTGCTTTGTTGCTACATAATAATAATAAATCAATAACACTATTATCAGCCATAATTTTGTCAAAAATCTTCAGTAAAGCATTTTGATATTGCCGGCACAAATATATAATTATTAATTATTATGAAAAATCGTTTTCAACCAAAAGAGCTACCTCCTCAAGAGGCAAAAATTTTTTTGGCCCACTTTGAAGAAAATAAATCGCCAATGTGGTCCAGCACTGGGTTAAGAAGTAGCGATTCATTCTCTCAGTGGAGGTCTCTTTTTCGCACATAACAGTAAACGATTGGGCCCATTCTCTCAAAAACATCAACAAAAAAAATGGAAATTTAAAATGAAATACCTTGGGATTTGAAGTAAAAATTAATTAATAAATTAAACCATAGGTTTGTCAAAGAGGAGGACTGGAATGGGTTTTGTTTTGAAGCTTCACACAAAAGAGAAAGAGATGGAAGATGGTGGTTAAGTCAAGCAGCCGTGTATAGTATGAACAACAAAAGTAAAATATGAAAGAATGGAAACCCCACATAATGTGAAGCATGCACTTGAATAGTCAATAGTCTTTATGTTCATATTTCTGTAATAACATAGCAATTTCTCTTTACTTCCAAACACCTTTCCTCGTCTTATTCCACCACAATAACGTGGCACTATCAAATCTAACTTTTTCTATATAAACCCCCCCACCCTTCTCTTTCTTTTATTACTACCATTACCATTACCATATACAAATAAAAAATATCACTTCCCTTTCTCTTATTCTTCATTCTAAAACTCAATACCATCTTTCTTTCAATGGATCATCTCCCCAAATGCAAAGCAAATTATGTCCCTCTTACCCCTTTGAATTTCTTGAACAGAGCCGCTTCCGCTTATGCCAACCGTACCTCTGTTATTTATGAGAGAACACGTTTCACTTGGAAACAAACGCATGAACGTTGTCTCCGACTAGCTTCTTCTCTTCGCTCTCTCAACATTGTCAAAAACAGTGTTGTAAGTTTCTATCTACGTTTATGTTCTTCTGTTTAATAGTTTTATTTTTAGTTGAGTGAGAATACTGAAACGTTTGCTATATATTTATGCAGGTGTCGGTTCTGGCTCCGAACATTCCTGCCATGTACGAGATGCACTTTGCCGTGCCTATGGCTGGAGCTGTTCTCAACACCATCAACACAAGGCTGAACGCTAAGAACATAGCCTCAATTCTCCGTCACTCGGAGGCGAAAGTCTTCTTTGTAGACTGCCAATTTGTGTCATTGGCGAGCGAGGCTATGAGATTACTGATAGGTGACTCCCAGGAGTCCACATTCGTTGCAGCTGAATCATCAATTCCTTTGGTGATCGTCATAGACGACATAGACTCGCCCACCGGCGTCCGTCTTGGTGAGTTGGAGTATGAACAACTGATCCTGAAGGGAAATCCAATGTTTGTCCCAGATGAAATCCTAGATGAATGGGACCCAATCACGTTGAATTATACATCCGGAACAACATCGGAGCCTAAAGGAGTTGTTTACAGCCATAGAGGAGCTTATTTGAGTACTCTGAGCTTAATTTTGGGGTGGGAAATGGGGAGTGAGCCGGTTTATCTCTGGTCTCTCCCCATGTTCCACTGTAATGGCTGGACCTTCACGTGGGGCATCGCCGCACGCGGTGGGACCAACGTTTGCCTCCGCAACACGACGGCGTACGATATGTACCGCAACATTTCACTCCACAAAGTCACTCATATGTGCTGCGCACCCATCATTTTCAACATTCTCCTCGAGGCCAAACCGCACGAGCGCCAGAAAATCGTTTCTACAGTACAAACACTCACTGGAGGCGCACCCCCACCGGCCTCACTCTTAGAAAAAATGGAACACCTCGGTTTCCACGTGACTCACGCTTATGGGCTCACGGAAGCCACTGGTCCGGCACTGGTTTGCGAGTGGCAATCCGAGTGGAACCAGTTGCCGCGCCACGAACAGGCAAAAATCAAGGCACGTCAAGGGATCAGCATACTGACACTGGCGGATGCGGACGTCAAAAACATGAACACGATGAGAAGCGTCCCGCGTGATGGGAAAACGATGGGGGAAATAGTTTTAAGAGGAAGCAGTATAATGAAAGGTTACTTTAAAGACGAAAAGGCGACTTCGAAAGCGTTCGATAATGGATGGTTTAAGACTGGAGATGTTGGGGTTATTCATCCTGATGGGTACATGGAAATAAAAGATCGATCAAAGGATGTGATAATCTCAGGAGGAGAAAATATAAGCAGTGTTGAAGTTGAAAATGTATTATACAGACATCCAAAAGTGTTAGAGGCGGCAGTGGTGGCAATGCCACATAAACGTTGGGGGGAGAGTCCATGTGCTTTTATTGTGGCAAAAAACAACGGTTCAGATGAGGACGTTAGAGAAGTAGATATCATTGCTCATTGCCGTAAAAATTTATCACATTTTATGGTACCCAAGAAGGTTGAGTTCTTGCCGGAATTGCCTAGAAATCCAACTGGGAAGGTTTTAAAGGAAAAATTAAGGGCAATTGCTATCAACTTTGTTGTCAGTAAAGTGACCAGTGGTGAGATTTCTTACGATGCTCAGCCTCCACAGATCCTTGCTTTATCTCGGCTTTGAATACTAGTGTTGTTTAATTCTAAATAAAATAAACATGTATATACACGTTATTAATTACTTGTCATCGGCTTATAATATAATATTTTATTATATATTGAGTTTGTTTTTATTCCCATCAAATTAATTAATGCCAAGTGAACTTTTATTTAGTACATAATTATAAGTCAATTGGATAACAAAAATTAAATTCCGAACAAGTTGATATATATATGCCTTTGATTCCTTCTACTACAATATATTTGTGTATAAGATTATTTTCCTCTAACCCTCATTTATTAAGTGAATAAATTAATTGGTTGTTGATATAATACCCATGAAATATTTTTATGTATGACTTCATATTAGCACCTGGTCGACCGTTTGTCAACATATGTAGGCTTAGTTCGGGATTACAATAGTAGTTTGTCCCAGAATCACTTATAGCCTACTTTTTAAATAATTAACTTTAAAAATACTCTATTAGGATACTTTAAAAGCACTTTCTTTTCTTTTTTTGGAGATGATATATTAATAATGTAAAAAAACTAAAATAATTAGTTTTTGAATTAGTTTTTTTTTCCTATTATTAAAATTAATTACATAAATAAAAGAGTTTTAAATTTAAATAATAATAATAATGATAAAAAACTAGCCAACGATGGCCAGTTGCCATCATCGACAAACCTACTAGTGGCGAGTGGGTGTACATCACCGACACCATTGAGATCATCGACTAACGATCTACACAATAGTGACAATGATTGGTCGAAATCCAACGGTTTTATGCCGCAGCAAGCCGAAAAAGTTTGGCCAAAACGACTCAGTATAGACTCACGAAGGAGAGATGTTCTAGTCTTAAAAACAGCAGCTAATCTATGTACCAAAAGCCTTCCTATTTAAGATATTTAAATTATTTCAAAAAGTAGAATTCCCTTTCACAGTCCACATTGATTGCCCTGATTAATATGCATGCCCATAAATTGGAATTCATATAGTATATAAGGATAGAAATAGAATACGTAATATTATAAATGTATTAATTACAAATTTGAATAAAATATATATTGATTTGTTGCTTTGGTGACTTACAGCTGTATTAATAAAAAATTACACAACTCAGCTTGTATATGAATAACGTGCAACTATTGTATTATATAATTAATATAATAAAATATTATATGAGTTACACGTACTGTACTATGTTGAAAATTTTAAATTTGCTCATTTATCTTAATTGTTCATTTATATCATTAATCATATATTTCAATGAATCTAAAATAAATATTTATTTATTGAAAATGTTGCAAAAAGCATATCGTCGCTCAAACAAGTGTACGGTGTCTATTATAAAAATAACAAATACCATTTGATGGGAAAAGTGGGAACCTAGAAAAAAAAACTTTCAAGAGCATGTGCTCAAAAGTTGATTTTAAAGGTAGCAACACCAACCTATGAAGAAGCTATTAGAGTTGGTATTATATATGCGTAGGCAATGTCATTTGAGCGCGACATATTCCCCAGAATTATTACCTAAAATTGTAGAAAGTAGTGTTGGTAAAATTATTTGAATTGAATTCAAAGTTAGTTAGATAATAAAATGAAAACGCAGAGAATCAGAGCAGCAGTAAAGATAGTGTACAGTGGATGCCTGCTCAAAATAGGCCATACAATTAAAATATCACGTGGAAATGGCCCCATTATTGTCTCTAATAATTATATGGGAGGCACCATTTAATCTAAAACGAAAATTTACAATTGTCTCCATGCCAAATTCTCATTACGTGTCTTAATCTAAATGGGCTTAGTTTCATTGTGTTCTTCTGCGATGAAATTATTTGATGTTTGTCCGCTTCTGAATTTATTGTCGTTCTCATCCATGAATCATAATATCAATAACAATTTAACTCTTAAATAGTTTTTTTAAGTTATTGTATAAAATTCCATTAAGTTATGTATTTTACGTGTTCTATCTGTCTTCAAATATTTATGAAAAATATTTATTTAAGTTAGTTGAATTTTCTTGACTATTCAACTTGAGTCAATATGATTTATAATTATTTTCTTAGTATTTGTACAAAGAATAAAAGAAACCAGATAGCGTATATTCCCTGAATAATTGATATGAATTGGACATTATGATTCACGAATACTGAAAATAATTATAAAGTTAGTTCCTGTAATTCTCAAAAGATATATGTATTTGATGAGTGCACGTAAATCTTTTAGTAATACGTCTCTTCATGTGTTTTCAATTGAGTATGACTTGGATTTGTCTAGTAATTTAAAAGGTGAAGAAGACACATCCCCATAACGTGGTTTTCTTTAGAAACTAAAATAATTTTGACAATGTTTATTGCATTTTAATTTTATCTTAGGCTACCCGCCTACCCATATTTTACTTCAAATAATTGTGCGTAATATTGTTAGATCTCATGATTGAGAAATTGAGATCTGTATCTTATTAAATATTAGGCCACTTTCACTTTTCCACTTAAAGATGATCCCAACCCTTTTTTTTTTTCTTTTTTTTTTTTTAATTTCTATATTTGGACTTCATATTCATACTACCCATGTGTAATGTGTTGCCCATTTAATTGCACATTTTTTATTTTTATCACATTGCTTCTAATTGTTCCAATTATGGTATCAAAAGTCAAAACAAAGTTTCAATAGTCTTTTTTCATTTTTTTTTTCCTTCTAATTTTCCCAATTATGGTATCAAAAGTCAAAACAAAGTTTCAATAGTCCATGTGTTTTTTCATTTTTTCCCCCCCTTGTGATTATCATAGAGTACCCTTAAAGTTTCCAAATTTGTTATTCATGATAAGTTTTGCACCTTTTTATCAAAGACTACTCTCAAAGTTTGAAATTGTACTATAGATACCCCTTTGCTTTATCAAATAGATCCTCAAAGTTTAAAAATTTTATCATAAATACTCCTTTGCGCTATACCTGCCACATTGTCATTAGTTTTGCAAAACACTTTCTTCTAAGACCAAAGTTATCATTTCACCCTAACACTTTCTTATTAGACCAAAGTTACCATTTCACTCATCTAGCACAAACAACATAATGGAGGTAAGGCAAAAGGGTATCCATGATACAGTTTCAAACTTTAAGGGTAGTCTGTAAAAATAAAATAAAAAAGTGTGAGAGTTGTCATTGAATAATAAATTTATAAATCTAGATAATGGTCATGATATTCTCATTAAACACTCCCTTACGAACTTACAAAACACCCCCTAATAGAGGTGTTATTAAAACTTTAACAAAATTGATGAATTTAATACTAAACGATCTTATAAAGAAGAAAATGAAATAAACCCATAATTCTATTTGCTTTAGTCTATTTGCTTTAGTGAGGTAGCCAAATTTAGATTTTACTATTGAGAATTTTCAAAGAACAAGTTTGATGGAAGATTTTTTTTGATTGAGTATATATGCAAATCACTAATGTCCCTAAATTATCGATGTATAGTATAGCTAAATCATGATGACCCCCTTGAAATTGCAATTGGAAAAAGTCAACTTGTCTAGAAAAAGAAGGAACCTGTCGTTTCGCCTATCCATTTTTTATTATAGTAAAATGCACTGTAAGATTGAAGAAGTGGCACATTGTCACTTCCTTCACTATACTGAAAGTGAGTGATGTTGGCTCCTCTTTGGGTGATTTGAAAACAAAAAGAGCCTACTTTTTATCAAGTTAAATGGAACAAACGATTATCTTGTGATTATTGTTTTCTTTTTCTATGGCCTTGGTTTTAGGGGAATTTCAAGCCACATCTTTCTTCTTTAATCAACTTAACTGGAATAAGGTTCTAAGCAGATCCAAGTAATTTTCTTGAAACAAACAAGTAAAAGTGAATTTCTTGAGGAGTTGAACTCCTGAACCAGTTTAATCCAGTGAGGCTTTATTTGATTCGTATTCTCATCGCAATTTCATTCTCTATCTTGTTATGCAGATGAAGAAATGATATTCCAAGCCCTGTAATATAGACTATTTGTATTGCCACGAATTTGTTTTGAGACAAGTATTTTCCATACAACAGATATATGTTTTCGATGCAATTACTTGTACAGAAGATTAATTCCAATTTCCAAAAGTTTAGTCGAGTGTACGGGCTATGTATTTGAGCAATTCAAGTAAAAAATAACAAAAAAAGGTCAGAAAGGACTAACAAACATTTAAGGTGTGACTAAGAACAGCATGACGCAGCTCGGGACCCTTCGGACGGTCTGTCCACTAGCACCATCCCAGCTGGGCTCTGGGCAGGCTGAGCTCTAGGCAATCTTTTAGCTGTTTTAAACCAAAACAAATATTATATGCATAAGGATGGAAAACCCAGAAAAAAGTTGAAATAATGGGAGCAGTAAAATGATATGAACTAAACAGGTTCTACAAGATTACCAAAACAAAAGGAAAGAAAATCAATTGCTGAGCAACAAATATATATTTAAAAAAAGACTCATACACATCACTCTACATGATAGCTCACATAAGATCCAGAAACAAGTTCCTGCCACTTGATCAAGAACTATTAGAAGCTATATATTTTAAATAGATGCCTTCAATTGTCTGGGAGGTAGAGAATGGACCAGTCAATCTACCATTAGAAAATGTTGAGTTCAATCCAACTAACATCAAACTTGTCTAGCAACAAAAAAAAAAGGATAGAAGGATTGCAGGGTGCAACGCATAACGGTTATATGGTACTTCATTTTTAAACACTGAGCAAGACATTTAAAACTGCATCTCCACTAAATAGGTGGTTAGTAAAACATAGCAAATAGAAAATTGAAGAGGAATGTTCAGATGGAAGTCAAAAGAGATAGCTTATTTAAGAACAAAAGTGGGAGTCTCCTCACATATTAATAAGAAAAGAGGGGTTTGAACGCATAAGCTAAAGAACTTATGCAATGCTGAGGGTTTAGATACATTATAATAGATGATTCTTGTACCGTGATTCACTACTATCATCTGAATCACATGCTGTAGTGTAAATACAGGCAGAATGTTACCAAATCATATAAATTTGGTGGTCTCACATATTATTTTAATCTTTGCTTTTATCCTTTATTTATTTATTTATTACAGGGAACAAGAAAAAAAAATTATTAATGAAGATAAATTAAAAATGTGGACCAGGTGTCCTTAATTTTCACATCACACAAATCTGGATTAAAAACGTTTTCCCTAAAACCTAGTACTAATGCATGGTTAGAGTGGGAATGATGGCCATAGAAAAAAGAAAGATACGATTGATAAGTTCAATGGAATTCGCTTTGTATTCTAGAAGATGTAATCTAAAATCATCTTTATCAGAAAATTTTATACCAGCCTCTTTTAGAAGAAGGAAAATAAATACGAAAATTTTAAAAAAGACAACAGGATAAAGGACAAATTTGTACGAGTCAGTTAATAGATAGAGGCTATAAATTATTCAATTGACAAACTAATATTGTAGTTCCAATATAACAAAAGATACACCACAACGGAGTCTATAACTGTCCAACTTAGGCCTCCAACAAGGTACACTTTATGCATTAGATTATTTAAATTGAGATGTCTACAGGTGCGTGTGTCTATAGCTAAGCATTTGAATAACCCTGACATAGTAACTCATCAGTTAAGCTTTAAGAAAATAGACTTTTAATAGCATAGTCAGGCATTTTGTTTCTCCTTTCCTACTTGTCAGAAAGCTAGAACAGTGCTTCAAAAGAACATCAAAATGGAACTCAATCTTGTTTAGAACCTGTTTCTAAGAGATGAATAAATTCAAAGGGAAGGGTTGAGTCAAACATCGAACTCTGCCATATAAAACAAAAATGTGGACAAACATTTTAGAGAATCCCGAACACGAAAAACATCAAAATGTTGTACACTAATTTTCCCCAATTAGGAGAAGAGAACCAACTACTGGCCATGAGTTCTTGGGCAATGAGATTTTGGCTTTCTCATCTCATTGATTTTGGCTTCACTTACCACTTTCTTGATCAAACCCTTAGTTATGGGCGATAATTGTTTTGTCAATGAGGCCTTCACCTTGAAAACATAACCGCATCTTCTTTACCCATGAGTGTAGCTTAATTTTAACCATAACAGTAGCCCCCTAATCTTGAGTCAAATGAATGTTTGGTGAAGAGACTACATGTTCATATTTTCCTTTTTCCCTTCCTTCTTCTTCTATATTATTTTTTTTTCATCCCAAACATTTTATATGGGTGGCTATTAAAGTTTAATCTAATATGAACAAAACTTGTTTACTTGAACCAAATTGATACAAATCTAGGGATCGAGGTGCAGTAAGACTCTTGGGAAAATTCAAAAATACTTGTTTACTTGAACTATAGCTCCAGGATGGATGAAGGATATCACTTCTCACACGAGTCTAAACTTTTTTTTTTAAATTTCCACAACTTGGCTTTGGACCATTAGATTAATCTGACACCCAAAATTTGAAAGTTTCGCTGTAGTGTTTGTCAAGCAGCAAGCTGCCCACATGGAGCATTTAAATGCTCCCTGCACATGATTAGTTTAACTTATTGATAAAAGAGAGCTCATTAAACAAACTAAACTCCAACACCAGTTTCTTTCTCTTCTACCATAATTCCTCTTCGTTCTATAAACAAAAGTTGTCATCTATCTCGATGATCCTAACCATTGGAGAAATCCAATAGCTGAGATCTAAGTTCTATACATATATGAGTTGGATAATAGTAACTTAAATTTTAACTAAATTGCTGACACAAATTCAAGACCATTTATCCATTACAATCCAAAGGTTTTGAGAGGAGGGTTAAAAGGTAATTATTTCTAATGTCAACTCAGCACCTTCCTACCATTTGATTGTTGTGAATGAAGGGCCATTAATTTGTGTTAACAATTTTAGTTAAAAAAACATATGCATGTACTGTATGCAATTGGCAAACTGAGGTCATATAGGATTTATGTTATTTTTATAATTGGTGTTATTGTTGAATAATTTCCCTTTGGTTCAAGCAGAAGGCTTGATGGCAAGGAATAAATCCACAGATAGGAGCACTGATTGGTCATAATTCATAAGAATTCTAAGTAACTAGCATTTTTTGGACATTAACAATTATTATTACCATAAGGATACAAGCACACTCCAAAACTAAGATCCCAGGTTCTCTTGAACCCTAGAAAACCATATAATGAGCTCAACCACAAATTTCTAGCTATCAGATGCATTTGTGTAATTTTTTTTACCAGACAACAAATTGAAGCCATTTTTGTATGACAATATGATCACTCAACAGTAAAAGGCTTCTTAATCACCCAACTACAAGTATGGTTGATGAATTATTCACTTTTTAACAAAGTGAGTCCAACAATCAAACTTTGGCTTTCCATACACACACCTGGGCATAAGGCTTTGCTTTGATGGTTCATCCACAAAATTACACTTGAAGAGCATGTTAATCATACCTTCATACCTTCAAAGTACTATAAGATTACAACTACCTTTTACAATAATGCTAGCCTAAACAAAAAGTATAGAAGTAATGAATTGGAGGAAAATGGTTGTACATGAATACTTATAGAAAAGAAGAGGTAAAAGGATTTCAATGGAGAATCTGATGAGATATTTCAAATACTAGCATCTCATAGTTCAATCAGTGCCATATTACCTATCTGCAAATTATATCTCTGACAACACTTTTTAATGTATCTAAATCCCTTTGACTTACAAGACATGAATATGGTTAGTTTATATGGAAGAACCCAGATCAATAACTATTATAAGCAACCACAAAATAACAGCAAAATTTACAAATTCACCATAACTTTAAATTTAGAATTGGGAGAAAGGGTAGATGCATTACTGACAACTACAAATATAAATACATATATGTGTATGTGAGTGTGTGTGTGTGTTTATATATGGCATCATAAATCCTTTTAGCGAACCAATCTATAACAGCGTACTTTATTCTCACCCAGCAGCAACAAGAAAATAAATACATACCTATTTCATAAAAGATTTCATTCGCATTGTAAGCAGTTTTGGCAGATGTCTCAATAAAGAAAAGGCCATTTTCTTCAGCATAAGCACGTGCCGCCTGCAAAATCATTTGTTTGAAGGAAAATAAAGTCATATCCGATAGATGAAACTGGGGGATTGAATCTAGCCATTTTTACCATTACAAACTTATTAGAGAAACTCACAGTAACTATTCTAATGATAATTAAAAATTAAAAAGGAAAATGGCAGTGAGAAAAATTTTTACACAAATCAGGTGTAGTGTTAATATCCTCTTCTTTGCCAAATCACGACAAGGTGTTAGTTAAGTAGCATGATAATGGTTTCAAACAAGACTTCGTACTATGCCTCTAGAGTTTTTATACCAAGTTCGATGGTATTTTTAATATGGATAATTACAATAAAAAACACACAATCACTAACGAATTTTACTAACCAGCATACTAACCTAAAGTATAGTACGGGTACCATACGCATAAACGGGTACCATATGTATTTAAACAAAGGTTAGTAAGATGGTTAGTGAGAAGTGTAATGAATGTAGTGTTACTCAACTACAATGACAAGACCAACCCCAGGTCACCCTAGAGCCTGAGAGTAAAGGATAGGTATCAGTCTAAATTCAAGGCTAATGGCATTAAGCCCTACTTAAAAAAAAAAAAAAAAAAAAAAAAAATTAAAAAAAAAAAATCACTTAAATTGAAAAACCCTAGAAGTTTTCCCCCTTTTTTGGGCTAATACCTCTTCTCAGATCATCACATCAACGTCATCACTTCTTGGGGCCTTGTCCAGGGGCAGACCCAGGCCCCTTGAGGGTAGGCCCAGGCCTGCCCTCAACTTTAAAAAAAAAATTGAAAAGTTTTTTTAAAAGGTTAAAAAAAAAAAGAAGTTAAAAGTTAAAAAACTAAAAAGTTAGGTTTTGTCTTTTTTATATTCAAGTTTTTCTAACCCAATTCCCAACTTCCCTTTTACATGCGGATCTGGATTTGGAGTGATTGTAATCCATATTTTTGTAAACCTTTGTGTATTTTACTTTTGTTAGAGTTGTGATTAAGCTCTAAATTTGTATGAAATATTTTTGGTGGATTTGTGGTTGTTATAAATGATAATCCTATTTTTCCCCATGATTTCGCATTAAATTTCGATAGAATTTAGGATACTTCTCATACAATTTGGGCCATAATTGCTATCTAATTCTATTAATTTATCTTTACAGGCCTAAACGATGATTTTGAGCATAAATGATAGTTTTGAGCGTAAATTGCATAACTTGAGCTTGAAAACTCAGAATGGCCTAATTTTAGAAGCTTTGGAAAGCTAAGAAGCAGAGCTACAACTTTCATGTTTTGAGTTTTTCCTAATTCTGACTGGACAAGGGTGAAAACTTGGCTTGAAGTCGTGAACAATATGTTGGAAACTGAAGAAAAACATCTTTGGACGTGCTTCAGTATTTCTGCCATAACTTGAGCTGTAGACCTCGGATTGTGCTGATTCTTTGACGAGTAGAAAGATAATTTAAAGGGCTACAATTCATATGTTTAACACTTTTCCATATTAAGACTCTTTCATGCTCAAATTTGGCCCGAAAGATTCTCGTTGTGGCAAGGAAAAAGCTTCGCCGCGGCAAAACTAAGTCAAATGTGAAAAATAAAACGACGTGTTTTGGCTTGCTAGGGCTTGGTCCTTAAGTGAAAGATGTATAAATTAGCACGAAAATGAAAGAAAAAGGGTCTTGATTCGTCATTTGGAAGGCAGCTCTTGGAAGGAGAAGATTATTGAAGATTTGGGCTTCAAATTAGAGAAAATTTCTCCATCTTTTGCTTGTTTTTCAATAATGAATCTTGATTCAGTTTGTTTTTGTTATTTTATTTTGTTTTTGAGTATAAATTGAGTTGTTTAGCTATATGAATTGAGTTGTTTAGCTAGGGTTTGATGTAACCTTGATACAATGATTCAAATTTATATGAATTGATTTACTTTGAGTTTTAATTTCATGATTGAGTGTTTATCTCTTTGCTTAATGACTTTTGGATGTTTGATCACCGTTCAAATGTGTGTTGTTCACAACAACACTGAGAAGTGATTTGTAATTATGCCTCTTGGGATAAATACCGTAGATTAAGCAAACACTAGAGATAGGTTTAGCGATTTATGAAATCTAGATAGAATTCCATAAAGCTTAAAAGACTTAGAACTATTAATCTTCATTTTGTTGGGTGCGGAAGCTTAATAGGGATAAGTAAGAAAATATAGCCTGAGAAGGTATATTTTACAACTTAGGGAATTCGATTTTCAATCAAGGAATTAGAACTTGGGTAATAGATTCTATGATTTGGGTTGGCGTATCTAGGTGAAATCAACACCCTGACATTTTTTTTAGCATTTTGTTTAATTAGTTAAGTTGTTGGGTTTTGCTTTAATTTCATTATCATTCATTTATATTTTCTCAAATTGTATTTAGTTAGTTAATTTTCCATCAATCCAATTTATTGTTGCTTCAATTAGGACTTAAACTAGAAAAATTGGTACTTAGTAATACTATCCTTGTGGGAACGATACTCTACTTATCACTTTATTACTTTTTGCGACTAGTGCACTTGCTACATTTGCATGTTTGTCAAAAATACACATCAATTAACTCTTTTGATTATATTGGATTTAAGTGGATTGTTAGATTCCCGTGGTTTTTTTTATCTCTTTACATTGAAGAGGTTTTTCCACGTAACAATTTTCTTATGTTTCTTTGTGAATTGGATGTTATTTTCTTATGTTTTCACTAGTTGATTGGCAAACAGTGGCAAAGCGAGAGGTCCCCTCTGGACAAAAATCCTGGGTCCGCCACTGGCCCTATCCCCTCCAAAACCACAACCATGAGTCAATTTATGAATATAAAATACATATAATACTCATGCATCAACTCATAAAGCTAAGTGGTCAGAAGAGGCAAAGTGATACTGTTTTTCTTTATCCATCTTAATTGGTTAGGAGTAGCAAGATGATTCTGGTTTTTTAGGATTTGTCTATGTCATACTTCTTCTTTTTCTGGGTTTCTTTTTGCACAGGCTCATGATACTCTTTTTAAAGCTATAGCCCCTTTTTAGATGGGTTCTTATTGTAGTAGTGGATTTCTGATTCACCATCTAATTTTTTTTTTTTTTAAAAAAAAAAAAAAATACATATCTATATTCCCTATTTAAAAAATATGTATATGCGTACCAGAGCACAAAAAAGAATCAAAATATGACTATTACAATTAAAAATGTCGATGCAATCATAACTTAAGTTACATACTAGGATTAATCAGCAATCATAAATTGAAATCAAGAAATTGGTCATCTAAAGATTTCGCTACCTAAATGAAGGACTATTATCCATCAAACAAATGTAAACACGACAATTTATAGAAAAAATATGATGCTAAGGGATTCCAGGTAAAAATAACAGAAAAAGCGGTACTTACTTCAGCTGTTACTTTCCTTTTGTCTTCCAAATCAGCCTTATTCCCAGCAAGCGCCACAACCATGTTAGGGTTCCCTGTAACAATTCCAAAGGAACACATAAGACTAAAATTAAGAAACAACCAAAAAAAAAAAAAGCCAAATGAAGAAACCTTGCTTCTGGAGTTCCTGCACCCACTTCTTAGCTCGTGCAAATGAATCCTATAATTCAGAATCCAATCAAAACCCACATACAAATGCAGGTAATCTCACGATAACACAGCAAATAATAAGAAAACTTACAGTGCTAGAAATGTCATAAACAATAATAGCAGCAGCAGCACCTCTGTAATACATTGGAGCCAAACTGTGATACCTCTCTTGTCCAGCAGTGTCCCATATTTCAAACTTCACAGTCACATCGTTCACAGCCAAGGTTTGAGAAAAGAACGCCGCTCCTATTGTCGACTCCTATCAAACCTCTTTCAACTTATCTTATTACCATAAATTAAACCATAAAACCTCTTCAATCCAATAAAAAGAATAATAATAAACCTGGAATTCGAGGAATTGTCCCTTCACAAAGCGCAATACGAGGCTGGATTTGCCGGCGCCCATATCGCCCAGCAGAACCTGAAAGAACAACTCACAATTGAGATTGCTTTTCAATCATTAAATTTCAATTTTATAAAAAATGTTCTATGTTTTACTCACAAGCTTCGCATTGAGATTGTTGTGTCCGATTGTCGCCATGAACTTCAAACAAAGAGACAGAGAGGAGGAGTAAAATGAGGATATGATCAAAGAAGAGACAATTAGGAACAGTGTAACTGTGTGAGAGACGCAAAGGAAGCTCCTTTCGTTGTACTGCTTTTTCAACAAACCCAATAAAAATGGGCCTGAAAATTAAACTTTGGATGGGCTGTATTGTTCAATTTTGGATCATCCAACGAATTGGGCTCAGAGCCTCAGAGAGATAGTAACTGAGTAGATTGCAAATATTTTCCGGGTTTTCATTTTGAGTGGAGGTGGAGTTATTTTAAAATTTAACTACAAATATGTGATATTTTATTTCAAATTACCCCTCTCTAGTTTTTTTTTTTTTCTCATAAATTTCTTTGTCAACCCTAGAATTCTCATTTTCTTAGGTTAAATTTCAATTGACATTTTTTTCTTTTTGGTAAAATTTGAGTTCACTCCACGAGCATGCACCAATAGAACCTTTTACTTGCTTAGCTTTTGACTGGATTGTGTTAATTGATAAAATAATATACATATATTCCTTGAAGTTATACATAGGAATCAAATTAATTAAAATTATGAAAATCAGTAAGTTATATATATATTTTTTATAATTTTTCGACAACAAAAATCGTAAAAGTTTTTTGGAATACCCAGATAACCGAATTACAATAAATCAATATTAGTTAGATTTAGGTCTTGTATAAATTGTTTTCGACTTCAATCTTTCTTTCAATGTATACAAATACATTAAGGACATGTTTGGCACGCAACATAGCTTGGCAGTAAGCAAATTGTATAACATTACATTGTATTATATAATGTTATGTTAAATGTTGTATGATGTTTGATAAAAACATTGCATTGTATTATTTTTATACTATGTTATATTTGGTATATGAATTACATTGCATAATATTATTTTTCTTCTTTAAAAAAATTCATTTATTAAAAACTAATATATTTTTCAATTATTATTTAGTTAATAAATTTAAAAAGAGTAAAAAAATGAACAGGTTAGTGGTCAATATAGGTCAACAAAAGTCAAAGTAACGGTCAAATATCGGTCAATAATTGTCAATACCAGTCAAACACTACCAACAAAGGTCAAACATCGATCAACAATGGTCAGACATTGGTCAACACAGGTAAACGAAGGTCAAACACTTATCAACAACGGTCAAACACCGATCAACATAGGTGAACGCCTGAACGGTAGTCAAAACTGGTCAATAGCAATGACCATTGTTGACCATAGTTTGACCATCATTGCAAATTCAAATATATAAATATTAAATTAATTGACAATTTTTTTTTATGTTTAAAATTAATGTTTAAGTAAATTGCATTAACTAATACAATGGTTTTACTTGACATTAATTAATGTGAAGCATACTTCATTATTTTATACTTTGATGTTATTTAATACTATGTAGTTTCATCACCAAACATAATAGAAAAATACTACATTTATAACTCAATCTCATAACATTCTTTTACACTTCTAATGTGACAACAGATGGTCATTATCACGTCATTACTAGAAACGAACGATCGTTCCTTTATAAAAAACGATCGTTTCTTCATAAAAGAACTTTCATTCATTTAATAAGGTATATTGAAGGAATGGTTATACCTTCATAAGGTATGGGCATTTATCATGAAAGAATGGACATACATTTGTTAAGGAACAATATAAGGAATTATCATACCTTCGTTAAAGAACGACCATTCTTGAAATGACTATGTCATTTTGTAAAGAACAATTGTTCACTATGAAGGAACAGTTATTTCTTAAGTTTAATTAAAACCATTTTGTATTAACTATTATATCAGGGTTATAAAAAAAATTTATGAGAATAGATTATAAAGGTAATATTACTTAATATAATATATCATTATATAGTATTAGAAGTCTCTAATACCATGATATGTCATATAACAAACATGTCCTACCTGTACACGCTAATACACGGCAAATAAATTCATTGGAAATAAACAAGTAAACAGTCTAGTCACAAGAGAATCATGCTGGTGCTGACTCTCGAAACCCAAAGGGCTATATTTTGTCATCTAATCTACCCGTTACCCAAAATCAATAATAAATATGTGAACAGAAACGACCGTCCAATTTAAAGGAGCAACAGATTCTGTTGTGGGCAAGTGGTGAGGTGACAATGCCTACACTCGTTAATTGCTTTTATAGCTTGTCGTTTTCATGCACTTTAGTTTTGTGGTAGCTAAGCCTAAGAACATCAATAGCGTCCACTACTGGACTTTTTCATTAGTATTTTCCCGTGCCAGGTTTGGTAAATTAACATTTCCCCACCCCTGGTTTGAGAATTTATCAATTTACAACTCAATTTTAAATTTCAAATGTTAAATTTAACAGTCAAAGGGTATTTAGGTCTTTTTACCCAAAAAATTAAAGCTATGTAAACCCTAATCTCTCTCACTATTTCTTTAATTAAAAAATAACANGAAGTCTCTAATACCATGATATGTCATATAACAAAATGTCCTAACTGTACGCGCTAATACATGGCAAATAAATTCATTGGAAATAAACAAGTAAACAGTCTAGTCACAAGAGAATCATGCTGGTGCTGACTCTCGAAACCCAAAGGGCTATATTTTGTCATCTAATCTACCCGTTACCCAAAATCAATAATAAATATGTGAACAGAAACGACCGTCCAATTTAAAGGAGCAACAGATTCTGTTGTGGGCAAGTGGTGAGCTGGCAATGCCTACACTCGTTAATTGCTTTTATAGCTTGTCGTTTTCATGCACTTTAGTTTTGTGGTAGCTAAGCCTAAGAACATCAATAGCGTCCACTACTGGACTTTTTCATTAGTATTTTCCCGTGCCAGGTTTGGTAAATTAACATTTCCCCACCCCTGGTTTGAGAATTTATCAATTTACAACTCAATTTTAAATTTCAAATGTTAAATTTAACAGTCAAAGGGTATTTAGGTCTTTTTACCCAAAAAATTAAAGCTATGTAAACCCTAATCTCTCTCACTATTTCTTTAATTAAAAAATAACACCAAAATTGAATCTCTAATTTAAAAAAAATAATAATAATAATAAATCTCTCTTCTTTAATTAAAAAATAACACTAAAATTGAATCTCTAATTAAAAAAAATAAAAAATACCCTAATCTCTGTCACTATTTCTTTAATTAAAAATAACACCAAAATTGAATCTCTGATTAAAAAAAAAAACCCCTAATTCTCTTACTATTTCTTTAATTAAAAAATAACACCAAAATTAATTCTCTAATTAAAAAAAACAAAAACAAATATAGGGTGCATTTGTTTTAGTATTTTGGATAATATTTTTGAAAAGGTGAGGGTTAGGTGGTAATAACGAGGTAGGATTTAAAAATTAACAAAAACATCCCTTAAATTTGTTAATTTATTAAACACCCTTGTAATAAAAACATTAAAAATTACAAAAAACACTCACACACATCCATTAAATACTGGCAACCGACCACCACCATCGAAGGGTAGTCAGAGTCAGCGTATCAATACACTACCGGTTAGATCTGACTGATCATATGCCGAGATGGTCTTTTTCAATCAGATCCATTGTGATTGTCAGGCCAAGATCTAGCCTAAGTTGTACGTCATGGCACGCGGCTGCTAGACTAGATCTTTGCAACGTAATCGTGATGCTTTAGCGACCCTCCACATCTTTTGCCGTGAATGTTATCTGGTTTTGTGAATTTGTTTTTTTACTACTGCTTTATGATTTTGGTGTATAAATTTTTGTTATGGGCTTCTAGTGTTAGAGAAAAGATTTTTTATTTCGTATTAAGGAAACAAAGAAGAACAAGTCAGCTACATGGCATCAGAATGCAAAACATTATTGCCAGAAGAAGTTCAAGTGGGTATGCAGATAAGAGAACAATTGATGAGAATGAAATTCTATTGAATCTATTTTTAGAGAAATCAAGCTCAAGACTGTATGTTGTTAGTCCAACTTCATTATTAGGTGCACTTGAAATATATCTCCCATGGAGGTGATTGTGGGTGATTAATTTTTATTAATAGATTCTCCTGTAAGGGTTTTAAGTTTGTTTTATTTTTTTTATTAATTACTTATTAATGTTCTATTAATATTTTTTATTAGATGGTGGATGATTATTAATTTAATTTTTTTGATTAATTATTAGGTAGAAATAAATAATCATTTGGAAATATATTTATTAAGTTTGTAAAATTTTCATTAATTTGGAAATTTATTATTAAATTTGTGATTTGAAGATTTTATTAATTTTTTTATAAGAGGAGCAATACGGTCATTGCACCTGTCAGATGTCAAATCCATTAACGGAGACTAACAAAGAGCGGAACGTTGATAATTTCTCAAACTCAGGGTAAGAAAACTCACCAAACTTAGGGTGGGAAAATGTATTTCAGCAATATTTTGGACTTTGCTTCGCCTTTTGGGTCATAATTTAATGCCTCCATTCAACATCACAATCTTCGGCCCTCATTCATTTAAAGAGGCTTTGTTTTAAAAAACAAAACAATGATAAAGAGTTTATGGGCCATTGGTTTTATTTACATTTAATATCATTTCATAAGGATGGTGTTATTTAAGGTTTATTCAATTTCTTTTTACATCCCAATATTGGTTAAAAGTATTTTAGAAATTCAATATACAGTATATATATAGGTAAACATCCGTACTTAAATTAAATGGAAATATAAAAAAAGTTTAAAATTTATCATAAATTTAAACTTTTCAAATTTTGTTCAAAACTATTATCTCGATCTAAAAAACAAAACAAAAAAATTATAATTTAAAACTAGTAAATGAAATCTTTTGATGAGGAAAATATATATGTATATAACTTCGAAAGCTATAGAGAAAAAACTAAGCTTTTTTGTTCACAAATTGAAATTTTTGAAATATCTTTTTTCTTTTTCATGCTTTGCATGTGATGGAGGTCTGATCACGTATATAATCCATCACGTCTTAAATGGATAGAAATTTAAGAAATTTGGAGTTTCAACTTTAAGTTTTGATTCATTAAATCTTGATCTCCACTGAAGGCTTCAGATCAAACCACTTATTATTGCATTT